CCCAGCTGTTATGTATTTCTTTCTATACTGCTACACTATCCCAACTGTTATGTATTTCTTTCTCTACTGCTACACTATCCCAACTGTTATGTATTTCTTTCTCTACTGCTACACTATCCCAACTGTGATGTATTTCTTTCTCTACTGCTACACTATTCCAGCCTTCCACTATCATATTTTTTCTCTTCTGTTACAGAATCTAAACATGGAGACAGTTCCTCTTTTACTGTGTTTGTTTTAATTCAATAACTTAAAAACGTTTTTCTTTTCATATTCACACTTATAGAGAATATTAAAACAACTCTTTAACTTGAAGAGTGGCAGTTTACTTTTTTTTTAAACTATTAGGACGTGATACCTGAAAGTCCATCAATTTATTTTGTTAGCTATGGGTATAACATTTGGCTAAATTAGCAATTTATTGGATGTTGCCATTAGTGGTCAATATTCGCTGAACATTTTCACACAAATAAACCATAACTAGTTGACAATATGCTCATGCAATATTTCATACACCACCAGGCGGAACAAGTATAGGATCCCGTGTTATCGTAACTTGGATATCTTATAAATATGGTTCCGTATAAGAATCCAAAAACGTAATGAAGGCGGAAAGAATTACTTAAACGCGAAGAGGTTCAGATAAATGAAAACAAATCATATAATCATATATCGAGTAATAGAATTAAAACCTCACCTTCTTAAATAGTGTTTACTCAACAAAAGCTTCAAATACCTGATGTTCGGATACGCTTGATTTATTGTATATATATATATATATTCTCTACACCAGGATGTATTATGGCAATGTTTTCTGGCAAACGCAGACTCTTCCAATCCGGCGCTAAGGACTGTCGCTAGAATGGACCATAGTGGACTGGACAGTGCCAAGTTACTCTGCTGCTACCGTGCAGTGACTCTGGTATGCCAAAGATTATGTTTGAAGGTAAGACTCTGATTTTCAGCTCATCCGGTAGCATCAAAATTGCATTTGAATATTCATAATTTTGTTTGGATTTTAATACTTGGCTCTTGTATTTCGTCTATCTGCGTCGTCATGAAGTTTAAGAGAAAAAAAAAGTAAAACAAATTATTTCAAAATTAAATACCTATTTATAAAATATTTCTTTATTAAAACTCTTAAGGCCCGGCATGGCCAGGTGGTTAGGGCGCTCGACTCGCAATCTGAAGGTTGCGGGTTCGAATCCCCGTCACACCAAACATGCTCGCATTCAGCCGTAGGGGCGTTATAATGTGACGATTCGTTGATAAAAGAGTAGTCCAAGAGTTGGCGGTGTCTTAGTCTTACAGTCTCTAGTCTTACACTGCTAAATTAGGGACGGCTATCACAAATATCCCTCGTGTAGCTTTGCGCGAAATTCAAAACAAACAATAAAACTCTTAAAGAACAGATAAACAACAAAACTGTGTCTCGGTCACTTCAATAAAACGATGCACAACTAATACAGTAGAATTACTTAAGACGTTTTATGATTCTTTACACAATCTGTTAATTTCTTTTCGTCCAAATTACATTAGTTTTTGTTGTGTTTCAATTGAACTAAAATAAAAGATCATGCATTTATTTTGAAAATACAGTACTTGAAATTTTCAAAAAAATATGTCCTTAAAACAAGACAAAATAACTTAAATGTGTTTTTTGTTACGAAGTCAATCTCAATGTTTTGCTTTACTTCATTCAATAATATTCTTTGCTACTTGAGGCCATGAGGACGAGACTTATATATCAAAATATTACTAACTTAATAGCATGTTTTCACTTTTCGCTGACAACAGTAACAGAAGCATTAGTCCACCAAATTAACACTTTCAAATATATTAAGGTAAAGAAAGATAAGACGGTCCCCTTCGATAAAACGGACACCTTTATATGTATATTAGTTATAATGTGCTGCCCTCTAACTAGAATTATATGTAACTATTGTCCATGTGACGTCCTATATAAATACATTAGCGGAAGGGCCCGAATATGCTTAATCAAACTGTAAGTTCAAGTTTTTGGACAACACTGATTTAAGATAAGTAAGCACTTTGATTTTTTTGGGTTATAAAATACATATTTCAGGGAAACTTCACTTTGTTGATTTCAAATAATTGTGATAAATTATAGACAAATGGATATGCAGTAAAAGTAGCACAGCTCAAATTCACTGTTGTTGTCTTTTTATTACAACATAGAATTGTTTTATGATGAGCGGCTTAGGATAGGCAACCCGCTCGCCTTCTTACACCACACAAGTACCCACTTTCTTTTGTTTTGTCTAATTCTCAACTTGTGCGTGGTGCCGCACCTTCCCAGTCCCTGCTGGGAGGATTTAAATGATGACTTAATTTCAGTCTTTAAATACATAATTTATTTCAAATTGCAGTTATTATATCTTAGATTGGGTCATTCTACTCAATATTAAGCGTCCGTTTTATCTTACCTTATAGATAAAACAGGTCCCTGTGTATTTCTTCAATATCTAAAAAAAGTCTACATTCAGTCTTTGTTTTAATTAGAAATGTCACATATAATAAAAAGTGTTCATTTTAAAACCTTTACTTTTTTTCATGACATTCATCTCAATTGGTGAAAACTGTACTCAGAGTTAAGATGGGCGTCTGACCCCATCTTCCTCAGCAGTATTGGTCAGTTTTCCGTGGAAGGTAATTGATTATTCTAGAGACCTTAATAAAGAGCTAAACATGAAGTAACAGGTTTATACGCGTAGCCTGTGAAAATGAGTATTATGCACCTGTGTTTTTCAATTATTATTTTCTTTTTACTAAAATGTAGCCCCAAACAAATTGCTGATAATAACTGATAAAAATAAAGGTAAGTACGCCAATAGTATACATCATTGTTTAAACTATAATAGGGGTATGGTGGAAGTTACCCCCCCCCCCCAATGCTTTACTAAGATACTTTAGAATGTTTGTCCAATCATAATGCGATATCAACTTAGAATGTTTGTCCAATCATAATGCGATATCAACTTAGAATGTTTGTCCAATCATAATGCGATATCAACTTAGAATGTTTGTTCAATCATAATGCGATATCAACTTAGAATGTTTCGAACTGTTTTATCTTTCTTAGACGTTCTCCAACGAATGGACGACAACTTGGAGTGAATTCCACAAGCAATGCCAGTATAAACCAGCGGAGGCATCTTTGTTGCACTGCTTGGCTGACGGTACAGTTTTCTCGTGCGCTTGAAACTGAATTAACCTTTATTACCACTCGTTGTTTTATGTATGAAGCAGCTTGATAGTGTAAACCTGAGTTGATGCACAATATTTGGTCTTTATTTAAATTTTTGTTTTATCTGGATTTTGGATCTGGATAGCCGAGTTCGAATACGTTCGATACCACAAATATTGCCTCTGCACTTTGGATTTCGGAGCTAACGATCCGGGTTCGAAGTTCTTTGATAACACAAAATATCCCCCCCCCTTCCCCGCACTTTAAGCTGTGGATGTGTTATAAGAATAGGGCCCTCCCAAATGGCACAGCAGCATGTCTGCGGAGTTATACCGCAATAAACCGGGTTTCGATACCCGTGGTGGGCAGAGCACAGATAGCCCATTGTAGGGTCCTGCTGACTTCCCTCTAGTCAACAGTTCAAAACTAGAGACGGTGACAGATAGACTTAGTAGTTTTGTCATTGATAAATACAAAACAGAGATAGAAGTTAAATTTCATATATGTTACATTTAGGATTTAGCTGTTATGGTTTCTAAGAGTCTTCGATAATTACACCAAATTTTAATTATTTTATAGAGGTATTGTCGGAAATGATTAGACGATGTATTAATGTCACTTCCTCTCATTACTGCATAGTTAACACGTATAAACCAGTCAAATGATTAGACGATGTATTAATGTCACTTCCTCTCATTACTGCATAGTTAACACGTATAAACCAGTCTTTATCCTAATGAGTTATTTGAGTAAATGATCCTGAAACTTATACTGCTTCATTATTTATTTCCTTACCTGAATCAGCTGAGGTGTGTTATAGAGTTTATATACCTAAGAAATATTGGATTTTCAAATCGGGCTGTGTATCGGAGGTTCCGTGGTTCGCGCACTTTTACCACCGAAAAACGATCGCGCTTCACACGTTCGAGCAGTGGGTGCAACATAATTGCGAAGGTCCAATCGAACTATTCGATTAGAGTAGCCCACGAGTTGGCGGCGGGCGCTGTTGACTAGCTGACTTTTCTCTAATTTATCACTTCAAATTTAGGGTTAGTGCACATAGCCCTCGGGTAGTTTTGCGGAAAAAAAATCAACAAACAACTTTGATTAGCCATTTGACTTACTGAGGTTGAGATTATAAAAACTACTGTATATTGACGTTAAACTACAAATAATATCAAATATACTTTAAATCAAAACACATCATGAGAAGCCGTTACTTCACAAATTATGCTCACTATAAATAGCTGTGACATGGATGCTTCATACTAAGATACCGAACATCAATAATGCCTATTGAGTGTTACATAAGTAATGAATATTGCCAGCGTTAAATATCCATTTTCAAGACGAATCAATCACAACGATCTGAATGGAGTCTCAATTCTCATTATTAGGGAGAATGACGGTTATTAGGGAGAATGATGGTTATTAGGGAGAATGACGGCTATTAGGGAGAATGATGGTTATTAGGGAGAATGACGGTTATTAGGGAGAATGATGGTTATTAGGGAGAATGACGGTTATTAGGGAGAATGATGGTAGTAAGAATAGAGGTTATTCCTAATCGTTTCTTTGTTTTTGAAATTCGCGCAAAGTTACTCTAACCATTCCCGATTTCGAACTGATAGAATAGAGAAAAGATAGCACCCACCGCCAACTCTTGGGTTACATTAATCAAACAGTAGGATTCGACTGACATTTTTATAACACACCTACGGCAACAGAACGTGAATCGTGGACACTCAAATGCACAATTCGATACGCTAATCATTAGGGTATCTTTCGACCCATTCTTAATGTAAACTGCGACCATATCTTTTACGTTAAATTATTTAAAGTTATGATAACGAACCTAATTCTTTGAAACTTTAATCACGCTTTGGCAATATTAACATGTTAAAACAAATAATAGGCATTTCTGATAAGTTCGTATATATATATATATTGTTGACTGATTGATAAGTTCGTATATATATATATATTGTTGACTGATTGATAAGTTTGTATATATATATTGTTGA